GAGTAGTATAAAAAATACGTTGTGTTTTAAAGATACAGATTAAAAATATATTTATTATAATTTTTTAAAATTAATATATATTAAAAAAATAATTTTAATTTTATTAACTCTTTAATTAAAAATATGTATAGAACATTAATAATAAAAATAAAATTAATTTTTGTAACTTTTATAAAAATTAAATATAAAAATTTGCGATTCCCACCTTCAAACATGGTGATTAAAACATACGATTGAGGATTACCTTTCATGAGTTGCCCGTATTCAAATCCCATAAGTCTCCTTCCCCCAATCACTATTTATTTAAATATATACTAATTTACTTTAGTTAAAAAATATATGCATTAATATTAGGCAAACCCTAAAAAGTATTTGACTTCTTTATGAATAAGAAAAGCAATTGCTAAAACTGTAGCAACACAACATACTTATATATAAAAAAAAAAAAAAGGGGAGAACCCTCAAATAGGAATGCAAGAACAAATTTATCTTAAAAAAAAGTAGAAATGAATTGTTCAATTAAATTATTAATTAAAATAAATTATTTATTATTTAACATATAACGTTATTATACATTAAAATCCATTTACTACTTAAGCATTTTTTTGACAAAAAGTTAATGAGTGATAATGTTATTTCTTAAATAACAAGCGATTTATTTTGATCAATAATTTTAAAAAATAATTTATTTTTATATTTTTAAAAAAATAAATTTGTTCCCACCTTTATGGAAGGAAAGGTTTTGCCCTAAGAAAAAGGAGCATTTGCTTAGGCCTTTGGGGGGCTTTAATATTTGTCATTTCTGTTCCTATAATCCTACCTTTCGATGAACCCGCCCGGCCCGTTCCTTTGGCCCAGCTGCAGTCAGCGCAGCGATATGGATAACTGGATCTACTGGGTTGGACCACTGATTTGGGGGTGCACTGGCTGGGCTGGTTTTATGTATTTATTTATGGTGATGTTTCTATTGGGTCCAGTGCCTCAGTTACAACTTCTGGAGATTAGAATAAGCTTAAGAATTCTAAATTAATTTCTTTGTTTTGGGTTGTGGTTTGGCCCAAACTATCTAAGCAATGGTTCCTTGGTTCTATATAGTTCATATAGATTTTATTCCGGCCCAAGACCCATGATAGACATGGGAGAATAACTTGGTATTACATCTTTCATGTGATTATTATTAATGGCAATTC